TATATATATATATATATATATATATATATATATATATATATATATAATTTGTGTTTCTATTGATATAATGATTATAATTCGTGTGAAACTCGGATCATTTTCGAAATCTAATCAATTTTCTAAGGAGCTATACGAGTTTACTTTTATATTAACATGGAGGATGATTAATATCACAAGAATACCTCACAACTTGAGGTAATTTTAACAGACTGATATTTGGCATTCAAACCAAGATAAATTAGATGATATACCAAACAAGATATATATATATACATGTATATATATATATATAATCAAAATGAATTATAATTTCATCATCATATGATTATATTTTCTTTGAGAACACCTACTAATTGTCAGCATGTAATTTAGCCACTTGATTGTCTAAAGGAAAACTTCAAATGGTTCATAGGATTATTCTCCTGATGAATGCATCTTCTTGTTAACTATAGTGATCTAACAAATCTAGGGTTCATCGAGTAGAATCATGCATCGGATGTTAGTAGTTCAAAAGTAAATTGTGAACTTGAGCAATTCACACCATATCTGATTCATCTCATCAATGTTTTCTTCTTATATATGGATACATACACACAAAATACCACAGTTAATTAAATAATATGGATAAATGATAAAAAATGCCGTGAGTGATGTGTAAATCTCAAGAACTTATCCTAAGTTGGAGCAATGTGGAGGATATAAATCCACCAAAGATTGGATGGTTCAGCCGTCGATGAAATATGTCGTGTAATCAATCTCCTTCAAGCTCTCTCCATCAAATAATGTGCTCGTTCAATGCATGCGAGTCGCAGTGACTACCTCGTCCAAGGAAAGATGACTTTGAGACCTCTGTCAGCTTGCCTCTATCCAACACAAGAACTCTATCTGCCATTTGAACTGTCTCCAGCCGATGCGCAATTATCAAAACCTGAAATCCAATTGGATAACATCATAGCGGTTTATGATTCCATTACACATTACTTATGCACCAGGAAAATGTGAGCATGTAAAGTATGAAAGGTTTTTTTTTTTGGATGGGCTACAGTAAAGCAAGAAATTGTGCAACTCAAATTCTTTCTTGGTCATAAGCCTAACATTAATAAGCAGCACGAAGAAACAAAAAAGCATAAGAACTAAACTATAGCATGAATTTATGAGACATGCACTCGTCTAATGGATGATTTAGCAACTTCCATGGAAAAAGAATAGATAATTGAAGAAATTGCAATATCCAATCTCAAATGTTTCTGTGCAATGAAATCTTCATCGTAAATCCACAACTAGCATTTTTTACTATATTGGATCATCTGAAATTTTTATTAATTTTAAGAACCAAATACGACACGAGTTAATCAGCATTCCATTTGCCATATAGGAAAATTAGACAATTGCTTTAGCAGAATCAAAGACTTATCTACATTTTATTCTCAAGAGAAAAGCTTCCTATTTGACTCACGCAGAGCATGTGATGTGAGTATATATCTTGATATTGATGCTGAATGAACTGAAAATTCAGCAAAAAGTAATGAATACACATCTTCACAAGATTGGATATTTTAAAGACTTACAGTGTGATTTGCCATTAAATGCTCCAAGGCTTGTCTGACAAGCAGCTCAGACCTACTATCCAAAGCGGAAGTTGCTTCATCCAAAATTAGTATTGATGCTTCCTGATACAGTGCTCTTGCAATGGCTATCCTGTTAACAAGTGAAAAAAGTTCCATATGTATATGCCATGAGAACTTTCCCAACATTTGGTATCAGTGCTAAACACAAATACACTTAACAATTTATTCACCTCTGTTTTTGACCTCCACTAAGACGAGAGCCGCCTTGTCCAATATTAGTTGCATAGCCTTTTGCAAGTTTTGCAATGAATTCATCAGCATTAGCAATCCTAGCAGCATTTTCAACATTCTCCTGGTTGATTTGTCCTGTTAAATCCCTATAGCCAATATTTTCAGCCACTGTTCCTGAAAAGAGCATCTAAAACACAAAAATTGGACATTAATATAAGAAAACAGAAACCATAGTGTTTAACATGAAATGACATGCAATGATATGCATGCCCATTTTCTGGGCTCGTGTTAATAAAGAAGTCATCTGTTACTGTCAGTTGCTAAGTAGATCTAATTTTTCAGTCAACAGTAAAAGGATGATGCCCATATTGATGTTGCAAGACAAACATGCATCTGCTACTTGAAGCTAAACATGAAAAAGGTGTTAGCCTTGTCTTTGGAAATGGACCACCAACGGAGACTTGTGCAGATCAAGCCTCGCCCAGAGCTCACATACAGTAACAAATGCAGGGTCAGCATATATCCATGTGACACTATTGGATATAACTAAGAATTAAGAGGTCAAGAAAAAAAAACAGAAAAGTAGAACATTAGTTGCTCACACATCACTAGAAACCATTAACTCGGCTAACTTCTTTCTGCCATATTCTCATTTTTTCCCCTCCTGTTGTGATTCAAGCTGTAACTTATCTACTGCTACCTTAACATTGTCTCTATACTAGTTCAATGACCAATATGCAAAACTTGACAGACAACTAAAATCTCATCAAAATTTGCTCTATATCTTTGTGCATTCATGTGGATGTTTCGAGTAATATTATCACAACAAATCTAGTGTTTATTATTTTCATACATACAGACAGTTTTGGCTAATCCTCTAACTTATCTGGAGCATGAAAAGTCATCATCCATAGACTTTCCAGATGCATTCTTACCTAATAATAATATGCTGGTTATTTTGTGGTAAATTTCAACCAAGATGCATGCTATACTTATCTTCATATCTTGAAAATATGATTCTGGAAAGTTTTGCAAGGATCAAGCAACAAAATCAGTCCTTTTTAGTCCAATATCTTTCAATGAGCTTTTCTACCTACCATAGGTGGCTATGGTAATTTGTCCAAGTACAATAAACAAGCATATCTTTAGAATGTATATCATGATGCTAAACAATGACTAGAGCCATACATTTCCGATCTCTTCAAAGAAAGAAGTTCATAGACTTACTGATTCCTGTGACACAATAGCAATGTGTTTTCTCAAACTTCTCAATTTGATATCTTGAATGTTGTGATTGTCCACAAGAATAGACCCTAGAAACAAGATACACATAGCTTAAGATATGGAATTCTACTTAACAGACAAAGCATATATACGTTCAAGAGACCTAGCAAACTTTGACTTTTTTAGAATTGGCAATTAATTATTCATGAAGAAGCAGTATAGATCACCAACCACATTGAGGATCATATAGGCGAAGGAGCAGTTTGCTGAGAGTTGTCTTTCCTCCTCCAGATGGCCCAACGAGTGCAACCCGCTCCCCTGGTCTTATGTGGAGATTCAGTCCATCAAGGATATATGGCATGTCATCTCCATATCTAAATGAAACACCACAGAACTTTATGTCTCCATCGACATAGCCCAAATCAATAGCATCTGATTTCTCGGTCACCTAAATTCAAAAAGCAATCAATAACAAGTATATGAAGGTACACACCAAACAAATAAAATATGCCACAAACTAGAAGTTATGCTTAATCTCCGAGATGTTCTGACTATACATTAGCATGATATGGACCTGTAACTTCTTAGAGATCAGTAAGCAATTGTGCTTAATGACTTAAAACTCTTACAGTACTGCAAATAACTCTAACTAGAGGATGCACAATATGTTAAATTTGCGGAACATAGGTGGTATCCTATGATGATAAATACCTTGGGTTTGAACCTTGTCAGATCCAACAGGCGTTCTATTGCTGGCTCTCCTTGCTTCAGTTCATTGTATGCTTTCCCCACACCCTATAAGTTTCAAAAGCTACACATAACATTCATAAAGAAAATACTTCATGGAGAATGAACAAAAAGAGATAAACAATAAGCATCGAATACCATCACCATCCGCTCGTCAAGTGCCAAACTAGCTTCCTATTAATGGTTCAAGAATTAAAAAAAAAAAGGCCACGTTCCTGAGCTGTGTTTTCATGTTCACATGCTCATGTATAAACATGTAAGCTAGAGAAAGATGTTTGATATAAAAGGCTTATCTTCTTATACATAGCTGTTAGCTCTCTGATAATGCAAAAAACATGGACGCCATGATCATATAATCATAGCCTGTAAAGAAAGGAAAATAAATGTAACAAGTCATTTTTCATCAACAGTAATCTAAAATTTTTTAGGGTTATATGAACTCTGTCTATCTCAGAACATAAAGTTGGCCCCATATTTCTGAGGTGGTCATCACAAATTAATGTTGTTTTGATGCCATTAAGCAAGAACACATTCTGATACACACTCAAGAATATCTGCATATTGCACAAAGGCATTCACTTCCTTGATATCCTTCACTAACACATGCTTATTAAAGTTTGCCACCACGGTTGCTTCTGTTAAGAAAATTTGCGAGGAATGATTTCATCAGTAAATGCTCATCAATCAATTGCATGCAGACCTGCCATACATAATAACCCAAAAATCACTATGTTGGAAACTTGCTTCTTGGTAAGAGCATTGACCTAGTAATCGACGGCTCAAAGAATCTTCAAAATGTTTCATAGTGGGGCTGATTCCATAAATAGCAGTACACTTCTGTGGTGTTATTTAGGATGCATGTTATCCCAAAGTGTAAATTAGCGGTACACCACTAAGATGGTTACGTACCTTAATAGGCTCAATGAGAAGTGTCAGTGCCGTTACAAATGAGAGAAAACTCGAACAGTCACAGGAATTCCTGGAGACTACCACCGAACCAGCACAAAGAACTAGCAGCCCTCCTACATATAAGGCTTGCACAAGTTGAGGTATGAGTGCTTTCATTTTCTTCTTCTTCAGTTGATATACCAGATTATCATAGGCAAGCCTCTGAAATCGCAAGCTCTCCTTTGGTTCTCCAACATTGGCCTTTACAACAAGCATCGATGGAAGTACCTAGAAAGTTCAACCAAAATTCCAGGTCATCAGTGATTCTAGTGCGACGGTCAAATGAACATAATTTCTTTTCTTCATTAATGACAAAATACAAGCAAAGGAATCCATCCAAAAATTTCTGCTAATGATATTAAATATACCTCATTTAGGTAGGCCGAGAGTCTAGCGGAGGACAAGTTTGTTTTCTTAGATATCTTCCGAAGGATCTCACCGAGATATGCGATGGCAAGCAACACACATGGAATGGCCTACAAAAATGCACACACAGATAGCAATTCTGATCAACAACAAAAACACATAACAGAGCTATAGCAAGATCCACCATGCTTTACTCACCAATGCCGTTAAAAGCGAAAGCAATGGGCTGACAGCCACCATCTGAGTAGCCATTGCCACCAATTGCAAAGCGTTCGGCACCGTAGTCTACATTGGAATCAAGCAAAATGGATTGACATAGAGCAACTAGATATCATGTTAACCAACGCCAAGTACGACGGCGATAATGGCAAAACCTTTTCCTGATAGAAAGCTTACATTCAAGAGGGCATGCAGAGCATCGGAAACATCGGCCGCCTCGGCGGTCATCCTATATGCGACATCCCCTGCCAGAATGGCATCCTTGCCCTCGAAGAACGCCATGTCTCTTTGAAGCACCCGATCGAAGACGTGAACCCTGAGCCTCCACACGGACCGCGTAGAGGCTTCCAACAGGTACGCCTGCTGCAGGTAGGCAGCGGCGGAGCGTGCGCAGGCCAGCGCGGCGAGAACGGCCCCCTCTCGGAGCACCAGCGGGGAGCGGATGTCAGCCAGGAGGGATGGCAGGTAGCCGAGTTTGGGAACGGCGCGGCAGAGGCAGCTGACGGCGACGATGCTGCAGAGCCATCCCTTCAGGACAGCCTCCCACTCGACACGGAGAAAGGGCGCGATCTGGAAGAGCGGGGAGGAGAAGGGAAAGGGGAGGGTAATGATCCGTGGATGGGACTCGCGTGAGGCGGCGACGGCCAAGAGAGGCAAGGGCTGGGAAGGGGCAATGGAAGATGAGAGTAGGGAAGGGAAGCGACGAGGCGTTGTTCGGGTTAGGGTTAGGGTTCTGGAAGGGCCGTAGAAGAGGGAAGTGGAGAGAAGAGGGTGACAAGACGGCGGAGCGACGGCGGAACGGAGAAGCATGGCGGCCGACGTCGCCTACGAAACGCCGGTCGGGGTTGTGGAAATTGGGTCCGGCTTGTACTGATTCGGTACGCAATCCAGAGCGCCGTCTACCTAAACATCCAATTGTCTTTACTTGTAAATGTGGGGTCCATTGCCAGTCAAACAGCTTACTTCCGACCCAGCCTCTGCGGTTGGCTGAGTTTGGGTCGACTGTGCCAAGAGAGGTCCACCGGATCCACATCTGGGCATCGGACCCTGCGATGCTTTCCGCGTGCACAATTGTTGAGATTCCGTACGAAATATCAAATGATACTTCCACTAATGAGAATTCCAAAATACTAAAAAAATGATTTTTAATAATTAATCCTAAATTATGTATATATATTATCTACTCCTAATCGACTTTATAGTTAATCCTAATTTAAATTTCCTACTTGGTCACTATTTCTAATATCTAATTCTGATGTTGTAAACAGATCTCGAATATGATCATGAAGGATACTATTTTTGATAATTTTTAAATTAAAATAAAGAAAAACATTCTTAAGATATAATGAGATTCAAATACACTAGTCAGAGGTTTGCATTTAGAAGTTTCTTTTTCCAAATTTATAGTTCAATTTTTCTTTTTTGCTTAATAATACAG